GTTCTCGATTTGACGTCACATTACCCACTAGAGCCATTCCTCTTTAAACTCGGTCGTGGGGCAAGATGGCGGCCGATTTTCCGTATTTTGACTGGGCATAGAAAATTGAAGATTTGAGCAAATAAAAAAATGTTTGCGCAGAAATACTAAAAAAAATTAGCTTACTTCGTTAAGCGAAAAAAATTTTTTGGGTGTAGGTGCACTTTAAGCAAGACGCTTCACTCACATTGCTTCGTCTTCTCGGATAGGACGTAAAGCCGGAGGTCCCGTCTCCTGCACCTATCAATTAGTTAATTTCGGCAAGGGACGTTAAAGAACCCACATCACGAGATTACTGTGATGTGGTCTGGCCTGTTTACTGGGAAGGGGGGGAGGGGGCATCTGTAAAAATTTCTCCTTTATTAATTGTAAACTGCCGCCGGCAGTCTGGAAAAGTCCCCCGCACAGTGTTGTAAAGCGCATTAGAGCATTTACATGGAAATGCGCTATAGAAATTGATCTATATTATTATCTATATTATTATTATATTAAGTATTCCCTAGTTACTCTTTTTGAAGGCAGCCTGATATGGACTCCGTTTTAAGTATTGCCTAGTTACTCTTTTTGAAGGCAGCTTGATATAGACTCCGTTTTAAGTATTCCCTAGTTACTCTTTTTGAATGCAGCCTGATATAGACTCCATTTTAAGTATTCCCTAGTTACTCTTTTTGAAGGCAGCCTGATATAAACTCCGTTTTAAGTATTCCCTAGTTACTCTTGAGTGGTAGAGTTTGTCTCAACTTTTTGAAGGCAGCCTGATATAGACTCCGTTTTAAGTATTCCCTAGTTACTCTATAGTGGTAGAGTGTCAGATTGTCACATTCTTTGTTCATTATAATTTTTTTAGCATTATAATAAAATTTTATAGATGTTCATTCTTTTTGAGTGGAGATACATGCATTATAAGATTACTTAATTACTCACATGAGCACAGATAAGGGTCACCTGAATTTCGCAACAGTTACAATAAGTCACTTGGTTTTGATGCACCTAAATTCAACAGTTCCAATAGTAGGAGTTAGATGGACATTGTGTGTGATCAAAATGTACATAAAGTAACAGAAAATAATTTGTTTTTTGTTGTACATTTCATGCGCTGCATTTTGAACAGCTGAACTTGGACAACGAGCATATGTAGGAAAAGTTTGCATGGACAGAAACAGTCCCAACTACTACATTGAGGGAACTGATGACTCAATCAAGAATACTGACAGGTGCATTGTCTTTAGTCAACTGAACTTAGGTCTAATTCTATTTTCTTCATGCACGGGATCAATGTGAGCAATCCCAAATGGGCGAGATGGGTCCATCTGGCCCGCTCGGGTAGCCAATCAGAACACAGGATTCACTTTATCTTGCCCATGGGTGCTGCAAGCGACATAATAATGGTAAATATTGTATGTTATAACAGATGTATTGATTCTACAGTGTACATACACTAACAGTTTATTTCAAAATAAAACACTGGTTGTGAATAAGATATGAAATTGTTTATTTCAATGTTTTGTTTTGGCAGGATTATTACTCATATATTAGGAATGAAGGTAATTAAAAAGTTAAAAACATGAAGACATATACATGTAGTGAAGAACATTCTAAATTTAAATGGATAACCCCCATTGTAGCTTTAGAAAGCAGCAACAAGGTTTCCCTGATGTGGTTGGGTGCCTCAAGAAAATCCCTGAAGAGAAACTAGCATTGGAAAGTTGCAGAATGAAAAGTAATGTTTGTTTGAAAATGAGAGATTTCAAATATTATTTTTCTTTTTCTGTGGACCCACACCACACACTCACATCTAAAAGAGTCTGAAGAACTGAATGTTCTCTGCTTTACATATGTGTAACCTGGCCTTTAATTCCCATTAGTGACCAAGACAGAATTTCTTACTACAATATCAATACAAACATTATGTAGCAGACAAGCGATGAGAATACAGAAAAAAGCAATTAGGGAATTATAAGTCATTCCAATGCCAAATTCTCCAGACTAACATCATAAGAATTGTATGCTAGACAGTAAAGAGAATTGCTAAGGAGATCTTGGGAGTGAAACAGTTAAACCACAGAAATCTCTCTAGATAATGTACCCTCTTTTCCATTTCTTTTCAGCAATGCAGGAGAATTGTGAGCTAAGTAGGACTTTCAAAAATACAAAGGGTGGATGGGGAGCAAAAAATTGCAAATAATAGTCCATTTTACAGTTGTTTGCTTGGTTGCCAAGCCTTTGAAGAAGAGTGAGGCTAAGGGTGACCTTGTTATGATACAAATGTTGCTGCTTTTCAAATGTAAATTACTTTGTTATCATGCTAACTAGATACAGGTCTTCTTCAGCCCCACTCCAATTCAAAAGCTTGGCATTAAGTACACAACAGTAAAATGGCGTATTATTTGGTGTAGTGGCTGACTAGCAGTGAAATACAGCTCAAGAGATTGGGGTTCAACTTTGGCTTGGTCATGATGTTGTGTACTTGGGTAGGACACTTTTCTCTCATAGTGACTCTATCCACCCTGGATTGTAAACATGTCATGTATTGGCAAAGTGTCAAGAGGAGTTGGGAGATTGTTGGGAGGTAAACTGGGTTGGATTATTGTCACATTCTGAGGGGGGGGGAGGGGGAGTGGCAAAATCCCCAGTCACTTTGTGCTTTGTAAACTGGGATAAGCTCAATCCAGTTGAGCTTCTTGACTCAATTACTTACTTCACATTTGATTATCCTCTGCTATAGAAAGACCTGCTTGTTTCTAATGAATATCTTTATTTCTTTTCAAGAATCCACTCATTACCCCTGTCATTACTCCAAGGTTTGTTGTGAGTTGCACCTCAGATCTGATGAAGAAGTTAGGGAATCTTGCAAAGGAATATGACCTTCCTATACAGGTAGGTCCATTCAAATCACCAACTAAACAGTTATCTGAGCCACATAAAACATTTTTAATTTCAAAATAACTTCCTTTAATGCATGAAGGTGGTGCAATTTACGGTGCATGTGTATTGCCAAACGTGTATATTTTTTTAATTTATTTTAATACAGAAAAGTGGGAATTTATTTACCAGTCTCATTAAACCAAGTGCCAAAATCTTTCCAGATTTAGTTTTCAGCAATAAAAACACATTTTAGACTTCAAAATAGCTTCTTTTAAAGCGCGAAGGTGGTGCAATTAAGAATATATGTGTATCACCAGGGAGGTGTAATTATTTTCGTAGTACGTAAAGTGCGTGTGGAATAAAGTAAATGTTATTTGAAGAACATTTGAACAACATAATTCAGCCCTTTGGCTGCTAAGTTTTTTAATAAAACCACCTATCTATCTATCTATGTATCTATCTAGAACGCCCATTTCTCAATACTCCTGCTTCGTTTCAGTTGATCAACTTGGCATAACATGCTGTTTTATTTCTCAAATACATTTTGCTACTGCGTGGATGGTATTATAACACCCAGAAGTGATTAACATGTAACTTCTCCCTATAATATCCTTACATGATTCTGCAGACAGACAATAAGAATATTCAAACTTATCAGGTAAAAGTTGTCGTCTTTACAAGGAAATGTGTCGTAGCTATAGGGGGAGAATTAACAATCAGATTTTGGGGATAAAAAAAACTAAAAATGATGTACTTGTACAGTTAAGAGTTGCGATGCCTTATCAGTTAAATTTCAAAGACAACTGATTAACTGTTGTTTTTTACCCTAGAGTCACTTAAATGAAAATAAAGAGGAAATCTCCATGGTTAAAGACGAATTTCCAAATGAGAGCTATACTGCGGTATATGATAAGCATAATCTTCTTAATGGTAAGGTACGTGAATCAGATTCGATGATTATTAATACCCGCCACCACAAGATAAACGCGGAGAATACGAATTAGAAACGCATTCTGATTGGTTAACGAAGCAAGGAGTCTAGCGTGGAATTGCGATTTGAAAACGAGGCTAAGTGATATTATTCATGTGATTCAAGAAAAATCCACTCCCTGACTCGTGAATTCCGCGTTAAATTGCACGCGAAAACCGATATCGCCACATTGCTTCGCGATTCGTGCGATATCGGTTTTCGCTTTACAATTTAATGCAGATTTCTCTCGACAGATAATGAATTTTCCTATAGTAAAGGTAATCGCGTGGGGTCGAGTAAAATTAAGGATTAAAATCACGCGCGTTTCCAGGAGTTGCAGAAATTTATTGCTTGTTTATAATGTAAAGGGAAATGTTTTCTTATAACGAGAAGTTCAAAACGCGTGCTGATGCGCATTTTCGTAAGAAGCCATTTCAGTGTTCAGTTAGTGTCAGTGAACTGTAAAACGCAGAAGTAACCTGAATGAAATTTTAGTTTTTTACAACAACATCAAAGTGATAAAACGAGCCCTGCCAATGAACATTCGCCATCGATAAAAAAAATACTTATAGGTAAAGTTAAGCATTTTTAATGTTATCAATTTAGTAATTTTGCCCTGGCAATTACCAAAATGAATGAAAAATGCCCTGTGTTTCAGCCAATGGACATAAACGTTTTACACCCTAATATCAGTATGCATATTCTCTATGCTGTTGTCTACACATTTTCTAACGCGCTGACAATGAGAATTTGTTTTACGATTAAGAGCTTCCTCAGTTAGTGATCGTTTCCTTTATTATCCTGACCTTATTGTTTGACTAAGGGGTGATATTGTAAGGAAAAATTAGATGCTATTCACTCTTATGGGTCAACTGGTTAAATACATTTGCCTTCTATGTTGTAAACTGTGAAACAAGGTCTTAAATCATTACTTTCATCATAGATGCAATAATGGTTATTATAATAATAATAACGATTTACTGACTATTATAGATTAAGTAGAAAGCTTTTTGAAATTTATTTATTACTTTATTCATTATGATAATAATTTTGAATTCCTCTGCAGACATACATGGCACATTGCTGCTATTCCACAGAGGAGGAACTTAATCTTATGTTGGAAAGAAATTCTGCAATTGCTCACTGCCCCACATCCAATTTTAAGTGAGTAATATCAGGCGGCTTAAAGGTAACGAGGTTAATATAGAGTTCGTCATAAACTTGAAGCCGAGAAAGGATTTTGAAGCGGAAGACCTAGGAAAAGGAAGCAGAGCTTTGAAATATCGAGCTGTAATTCAGGCTGTAGTTAAGTCTGAAGCTTGTATTTGGTTGAGAATGTAGGCAACTTGGAATCAGAGACTAGCTTTTTTTTGAAAGTCTTTGTTTTAAAGCTGCTATTGGTGATATTTAGGGCTCTCTTCTGCCAACTTCATGTTCCAATAAGTTCTACTTTTGTTTATTGTAGCATCAGAAGCGGTGTTGCTGATATCAAACACTGCTTGAACAAAAAGATTAAAGTTGGATTAGGAACAGGTAAATTTCTATCTCCCAACTGCTGGGTTTGTAGAAACCGAGATAGAAATCCCGTGAATGTAATCTCGTGTGAGAGGGAGGCACTTCCTTGTAATAGGTTATTGAGGATTTACCACTAGATGGGATCACATTGGCTATACTGAGGTAGCGGAATGGGGGCGCACATTTTCGGGATTTTTGAGATTAGAAGATTTTGGTAAGTAGGGAAGATTCGCGGCTACAAAGCTGTTACATTTGCCCAATATGACTAAGATGGGGCTTTTATTTGGCCACACAATAAACCATAATATGGAAGAGGTTCCCGAGAGGCCAGTGGCACTTGCCCAGCAAAAGTTGACCCAATCCTCTTCTCACCCCCACCTTCTCCAACTTCCCGGTTATAATCATTATCTCCCAGAGGGAAGAAGAGGAATTCTCTTTACACTATCATTATATTTCAAGCGAAAAGCTGATGAGACAATAGAAAAATGTAACTGGGGGGCATTGTTTGATTCAGTAGCAAATTCCCAACGTTTTAATGAATGTATGGCAAGAAGGAACTACACTGTACATCTGCGAGTGAAAAGGGTTCAAACTCAAACAACGAGCACGGGAAAATACAGAGATTCATAATGTAGTAAGTGTTATTTTTTCACAGCTGTACACAAAGTTAAAGATGGGGGACAGTGTGGATGTGACGAAAATAACTTGTAGAGGGAAAATTGAATCAATTTATGAGTTGCATTTTATTTTTTTCATCTAGATGTTTCTGGTGGAGAATCGCCATCGATGCTGGTAGCCATTCGTGATTGTGTCAAAGCCTCCAATGTTATCAGTTTTGGAAAATCTAAAGGATTCACAGCCTTAACTTATGAAGAGGCTTTCTTTCTTGCTACTCTGGGTGGTAGTCAAGGTAAGTCATGCTTTATTTTATCTCCAGTTTACTCCTTTAGGCTTTTGGTTTTTGGTTTTTTTTATTTTTCGGTCCTTTTCAGGCAATACTACTCTAATTGCAAAGCCTAAAGTTTTTGTTTGCATTTTCCATGTGTTTCTTAGTGAAGAAGGCATAAAAATTCAGCGGAAAAGTTAGGAGTTTGATTCTCTTTCACTTATTAAATTTGTCATTGATGTGGTAGTTGTCCATGTTTATCATTAACGAGTGATGTGTTTTAATTTCGTTATAGTGCTTGGACTTGACAACAAAACAGGAAATTTTGAGGTAGAACGAAACGTAATTCCTTCTAATATTCACCAACACTTTCTGATGAAGAAGCTTGATGTCGTATTTAAATTTTCTTCAGGTCGGCAAAGACTTTGATGCATTATTTATTGACGTGGAAGTTCCAGATTCCCCGTTCGATTGTTTTAATTCAGATGATACAAAGGTAAGATCGATCCATTTTTGATAATTTGTTTGTTTCATAGTGTTTTAAATCGGCTGTAGTTTGTCCTCCTGCAGCGTCAGTGAGATGAGTATTTCTCGTCCTTGGTGCTTTGTATTTGTATGTTCTCGTTTAAATTTAGTTATTCATCAATTTCATTATTTATTTTTCGCGTGGTTGCGTATTTTGAAATCACGCTTGATACTTCTTTTTAACATCCTCCTTACCCCCCCCCCTGCGGTTGGCCAAGGTTGGCTAAGGTTCCACATTCCAGTTCGATCTGGAAACAGTGGACAAAAAGAGCCAGCTAGTGGAATGTCCATCGCTAAATTTTCTATTATTTCCTATTATTTATTAAGGTTGGCTTCACTGCATGTTCTTCGCATGTCTTGTGTGGTTCAACAGGACGAGTGAGAGCGATTAAGTTCGCCTGTGTTTCCTTCATCGGGAACTGCAATTAAATGAAAGACAAAGTGGCATTTTTAACGATTTGTTAATTTTTACTTTTTCTAGGATGTTGTGCAAAAGTTTCTTTACCTTGGTGAGTAAGATTGGCAATTTGGTCTTAGCTAATTACTTTAAATTATTTTAAATCTATTTTTGGCCGGCAAGTACCAGGTAGGAGCGGAAGTCAGTCAGTTGTTCAGAAAATTTATCGAAAGTGAAACTGCAATTATTAACACAACGTAAAGTAAAGTCATTAGATACCTATAAATTAATACGTATGTACATGAATTAAAAGTGTCGTAACTGATTATTCGCAATGCAAGATACATAGGGTACGACCTTTAGCAACTGAACGTTGTCCATTTTGAGTCATGTAATTATTTTCTTTTAAATCTAAAATTCTATGCGACGAATCCTGCTTAAAATTCCTTTGCGTTGCGATGGCTCGGGCTGTTTCCGAAAGCGCCTTTCAAGTTTTTGTAGCGTAGAAATGAAAAGATCGGAACACATGTGTATGTAACAGTAAAGCGAATGTTGTTTCCCTTATTGTAGGAGATGACAGGAACATTCGAAAGGTTTATGTGGCGGGCAAACTTGTAGCAGGACGAGATTTCAATATCCAAAGCGAAGTGGAGTGTATAGAAATCGAGGACTGACTACTCAGGAGTTTAGTTTAGCGTAGATCCTCGAATAATTGTACAGGGCGCTTATTTCAAAACGGGGATGAACCGTGGAGCGGATGGGAAGCGCTTATCAAACCGTAATTGCTGGTTCAATTTTTTTTAAAATTGGCCGTTACGTGTTACCGTTAGAAACATCATCTTAGAAATTCCACGGTGGCCAATTTACTTAATTAACTCAGTTGATAAAACCACTTAATATTGTGATACCCTCAGTGAAGTAGGACCATAGTTAGAAACTTACCCCCTTTATTATAAATATTCAAAGATGATCTTAAAGTTTTTCTGAGAGCCACAATTGGTACTCATGATTACTTTTCCAAACCTAACGTGCACTTAACTAGTTCGGCGACGTAACATAAGATGTGATAGTATTGCGACTAGTGTTAGTAATGCAACTTATTGTCTAAGTTTCAAAAACGTTTAAGCAGCGGGTTGTAAGGTAAGAGGCTAAGTAGGTTATTATTTGTAAGTACATTCTTTTGTAAGTAGGTTTTAATACTGAACATTAGTGTTATACGTATATTGATGTAATTAGCGCAAGTAATTTCCTGTATTTCCTGTTTGTTGTCGTCATATCCACAGCAGATATAAAATCTATTCGACAAGGTTATGTCACGATAAATTGTACCGACTTCCCTCCCCCTCCCCCCTTCCATGAAGGTTCTGTAATATTCTTATGTTCAATGTAGTTATTTGGCAGTCAGTTTTTTAAGTTTCCCCTTTATAATCTTTTGGAAACGACTGATTCCCCCTCCGCTTCCCCTGCGAACCATGTGATCCCCCCCTAAAATCTTCCAATCCCCCTACTAGGCGATAAGTGATGACCAGTCGTAATTAATGTTATGCAGTATTCAATGTACTAAAGACTGTCTAAACTTAAAGTTGTTGACTAAATTATGGGTGTGTAATTTTTTCCGACACTGCAGTGCGTAAAGGAAACTGTTTGGCAAGAAGGAAGTCCGGGAAATGTGCATTACCTAAATAGCGCCAATAATTCAAGTAATGGTTCTCTTTTATAATTAATTTTTATAGCTGGTCTGTTAAAAAAAAATCGCAAAATGCAAGAGTAATCGCTTTTGAATGTCAGAGACACTGAATAGCTTTATATATTTCGAATTATTATTTATGACAAGAATGTGAATAAAGTTGACGTTGTTCTTGTGACGAGCGTGGAATATAGAAAAACATCTGCATCCCCATGAGGAATCGAACCTCACACCTTCGGGTTTTGTGCTCTAATGATTTACCACTGCGCCGAAACTTCGCTTATGCAGAGGCAGAGGATCACAGCTCCAAACCGGGTATTGCTCATAATTATTTACATAAATGTGAGAGGGCGCAACCAGAGATATTGTAATTCATACGGAAGTATACAGCTTTGAGATCTCTGAAAAGTAACGTTCTGTTTTTAAATTAAGCTTAAAGAGTAGCCCATTTGCGAATTACCCTTGGCCTCATTTTCAAAACGAGTCCAGGTGCTCATCCTTTCTTATGATAATAAGTTTTCATTCACATGCAAATTAAACTCATTTTGACAAGAATGGTTTTAGCACGAGGACTCGTTTTGAAAATGAGGGCAAGGGTAATTCGCAAATGGGCTATTAAAGTCGTTTTCAGTTTTTTTTGTCTGTCGACTTCCATCGGTTAGCTGGCTCTTTCACCAAACTTGATACAAGTGACGGAGGACGAAGCACGAAAATGAATATGCGAGGAATGCACCGTGTTACTCTGACGTAACCCGAATGATAAGTTTTGCTACTTCCCCCTCCCCTCCTAAGGGGAAGCACTGTCCGCGGCTTCGGTGTCGTAAGGGTCTCTGTTGCGCCCCCTAGGGACGGTAAGGAGTGGACTTTGGGAATATGTAGCACCGTTATGAGATTAAGACCTGTTATCGACTCTGTTGAGTGCGCCTCATCTGGTTACTCCTGAGTGTATTCAGGCGAAATATATAGATCGCCCATCGCTAACGCCCTCCTGATCCCTCCAGGTTCCTTGTTCAAGAGGGTTTGTAATGAAATTTCTGGCCAATCGAACCGAGATCCCGAAAGCTAAACCTAGTTTTGAAGTATATACCCGTGAAGGCAAGCTAGTCAAACTAAGGGAGGGATGAAAAACTTTACATGGCCACACTTGGCTAGCTGCCAAAGATCGTTTCTGAAATCACAAGCGTTGTCCACTTTCCTTGTGGCAATAGGTAGGCACCTTACGCAAGTCAAGCTTCCGAACAGGAGTGCCGGCGCCATGCGAACAAAATAAGTCACACTTTCACCCTTTACACTTTTTCTCGCATATTTTATTCGGTTACATATTTTTACATGATATTCCTTTGACCCGCAGATATCAAATGCGAATCGAGGAAATAAAGCGAAATATAATATAATAAGACAAAATGATACACGAGAAAAGTATAAAAAAAAAAAAAGCGAAATATAATATAATAAGACAAAATGATACACGAGAAAAGTATAAAAAAAAAAAAAGCGAAATATAATATAATAAGACAAAATGATACACAAGAAAAGTAAAAAAAAGTCGGTCAGTTGTCTGTAACGTTACACTACCTTGTGTTACCTAGTTCCATAATTCCTCTGGGCAAAGTGAGTGCGGGCTCGAAAATCAAATCGTACTGTCACAAAACGTCATCGACTGATGAATGCAGCGTCAGCGTCGGACTTTGTTTCATACATGTACATGCAAGACTCTATCGTTTCCCATTATCGATAGCTACGTGCATTGAAAGGCTTCTGTAAATGCCAATTGCTAGCTGTGGTTGAAAAGGAGGTTTCAACTCATTAGGTGAGCAAAATGTTGAAATTGTTATTCAAACAAATGCTTCAAACGGTTCAGTGCCTACAGGCACTAGAACGACTACACATGTTAATAAAGGTTATGTAAGTATGTATATATGTCACAGGATTTGTCGAGAGACACTCGGCATGGAAATAAACATCCGGGAAATCTTTTGATATCGTTGATAAGAAGTACCATCAATAGAAGTAGTTCTTCTGTGTTTATTCTCTAGGATGACGAGGATTGTCTTAGTGATGTTGGTCTGCTGAATATTAAACATGACTGAAAGCGGAAGTTTTAGCAAATATGCCCACACTGTTTCGAAATATTTTGGCTATTCACATGAATCAAGTAAACACAAGCACCGTTCAAAAATGATAAAACTTTTGTAAAAATCCCTCATTGAATTAATTTGTGGGAGTATTCAAACAATTTTTGAATTCATGTTGAGATCTCGTTTATAGATGAAGTACGTGCAACAACTGAATTATCATGTTACCCGTACGGCCCCACTCACGCAATTTGGATAATGAAAGCTGACGTGTGTAGCCTGCACACGTCAGCCCTCACGCGAGCAGGCCGTGTAAAGTTATCCGGCGCCGCACTTGCTCGGCTCTGTCAAATTTCCAAGAACGTGAAATCTCTATTTTGGATATAAATTTAAAAGAAAACTGTAAGTCGCGTATTGCGATGAATTTCTTGTTCTGATTCGGGAAAAATGAAAGAATTTTTTTTAAATTCTTGTGCCTTTTCTGTAGTTGTCCATTGTTCGCACACTGTTTGTAATCGTTTCACGTCAAGGTTCAAATATACTCGTAAAATACCTAACGACTGAGTTCGGTCGGGCTGTACAGAAAAATAATTGGTCCTTGATCGCTACACATGAACTTCACTGCGCTCGGTCCTTAGGTCATGATCTTAAACTAGATTGTGGAAGATAATCTCAGACTAAAATGTTGTGAACTAGAGATGTTTAATCTGAACGCGATCTTCTCATTCGGCACAGCTACAAATTTTTAAAGCTAGACTCGAAACTGAAACAAATATTGAAATACAAGAAAAAGAATAACACACAAAGCGACAACTTACATATTTTTGGCCATCTCCAAGCGAAACCGAACATCAACATCAAAAGACGAAAAAAGGCAAACCTCACTACGCACAAACAACGCACAGCGATTTGAGCACATGGTCGCTAAGGTCATGTGATCTGCACAAGGGAGGACCGGAGGGGTAAACTGTCCCTAACATGCAAGATATTTGCCCGAACGCCCAAGTCTACTTACTGTACTTTATTTCCCGGTAAAAACAAATAACTTTGAATCGTTGTTTTGCTAAGAGAGGTAGTGGAGTAGATGTAATATTCATTAAGAAAAAATGAGCGGAATTTCTGTTTGAAGCGTATTCAACGAGGAAAAAGGTTTCAATATATTTACAACTTACGAGCACATGGCATTGCTTGACAACCTCACAACAAACGTAGGGGGAGACTGGAACCAATACTACTCAGTCTCTACAAATACACCACACTGTTCAAGGTTAATAACATTCTTGGGGTTTGGGTTATATGCACCGCTTTAAGAGACTTTGGGTCGGTCATTGAAACGAGGTCTAATGTCGGGCCCCAGTTTTTGTCAATAAATGGACTTCGAAAGTTCCTCATAGAAGGGAGGGGTTTGAACTAATTAGATTTTTCTTTTAGACCTAAAAAGAAGCCCTTTCACAGTTTTTGCAAAAACTTGAATTATAGTTGATATTTCCGCTTGATTCAAGGTTATTTAGAGCGCGCTGTGGATGAACAAGGGTTAACCTTTAGAAAGACTTAGCACCGCGTTTACGTGAAACGTGAACGGTAAGAGTGGCCACGTGACCGAGTTTTTCCTGCCATTTTCTCAGGTTTGGCGGTTGTGCTTTACCGTTTCGACGTGAAAGTAACCTGTTTCGCGTTTACCGACGTGTACGTAAGATTTTCACCTCTTTTTCTCACACAGAGTAGAAGCTAATTGCCGGAAGAAGGGCACCAAAACCAGTCCTGGTAAGTCATTGACACTATTTTAAGTGAATCACGTGCCATTTCACGTTAATGCGGCGCTAAATTTGTCTTTTGTTTCAATAACCGACCCTTTGAGTTTATGGACTTTGAGATAATATTTCATTCACATATTTACGAGGATGGTAGGGACATGATCCAGTATCAAATGTCTCCAAAGGTTGATATTTGTTTGTAATGAGATTTGATGATTGCTTAAAAATACGCGCTACTTTCAATGTGGGACAGAACTAGGTTAAGCTGACCAATTTGTTTGGTTCATCAGCTAACCCGCTGATGGCTAGTGGTCCACCATCAGTGGTCTCATCCAAGGAGACAACCAACTATGCACGGCTTTGTCGTCTTCTGGTGGATGTCGGGTCTCAGGTCTTGAGGGACACATTTGATGGAATACACCCTCCGGTGGGACTCCATTCAGTTTTGGCTGGTCACCCAAATCATGCAAAACTACAGTCTCTTCAGAAGAAGAAAGTTATTAATCCTAAACAATGGGGGAAGTTGTTCCCTGTCATTCCAGCATCTGTTTCATCAGCTGGCTTTGATATCACTCTCTTAGTGGTGCTACTGAGGAATATCTGCGGTCTCAGTCCTCCCAGCAGTGGTTGGGACCATCTTCCTCCTGTTACAGAAGGTGGTGCATCTGCTAACATAGCCAGGGTGAAGTTCTATCGAAATACTGTATACGGCCATGCTGAGCAAGCTGTGGTCGATGACACCAAATTCGATACCTTATGGCAAGATATTGGTGATGCAATAGTTGGATTAGGAGGAGCAAAGTACGCTGCAGCTATTAACAAGCTCAAGAATGAATGTATGGATCCTGATATGGAAAAACACTACAAGGAGTTGCTATCAATGTGGAAAAGAGATGAGGACAACATCAAAGAAAAGCTGCACGAGGTGGAAGGTATGTTATGAAATCAGTTATTTTAGGGTTGGGGACTCAAAACAAACGACGGAGGCGATTTGAAATCATGAAGGCCACACCTTGGGTCAACCAGGTGTCAAGGGAGGTATTAGTATTTATTAAAACAGCAGATGGGTTTGAAGGAGCGCCCTGATCGGCCACTCAAACTCTGAACATCCTTTCTCACCTCTAAGCAACTCGCGCCCGAATCATCGTAGCCATTGCGGGAGTAAAATATTTAAAATCATCTTTTTGTGCTACATTATCACACTGTTTTAGTATCTACCACTAGCTACCTCCACTTCGGTGAATAGTTGTTAACTTTAACAAAATTGGTTTTATTATGTGACAGCTTGCATACATATTGGATACCATTTCGCAGCTTTTATTTTCCTTTGGTCAGACTTCAGGGAACTGTTCTTTTTCTGTCTTTCACATGCTTAAAATTGAGTTTTTTTGTATCCTTTGTGTCTCCTCTTTAAATGTAAGAGGAGGGTATTCTGGTTAGGGATGTTTTTTTTTTCTACTTCTTTAGTATAGGATACAAGGACATGTAGTTTTTATTCAATTCAAGCTTCCTTATTCGGCGGATTTGACCCTAATATTAATAAATCTTACTGTTTGGCGGATTTGAACGTTCCATATATCACGGTTAATGTTGTGAAAAACTTTGCTTTAATTCATTAATGGCACTTTTAATGCTTACGTAATAGTCTGTCTTACGATGGAGTCACTTCCGTGACCATTCGATTCCTTCCAACTGGTTTTCTTCGGGTGATCAAGGAGACGCACAGTATGCAGTGAAAACGTTGCGATCCATATCGGAAGTGAATAATTTGTAAGGCTAGCGATGGGACTTCATTGAAAAGATCACGTTCTTCAGATTTTCACAATTTCCGAACTCAAATTTGATTTTCTCACACTTAACGTTTTCATAGAAAAACCACACAGAACTTGTAATTTTAGGAAATTATGTATGTAGTGAAAATGTGTCGACTTCATCAACAAGTAGACATTCTCGATCCTTAAAGGAAAACTTGAACATGTCAAAGAACAAGTGAAGAACGTCAGTAAAACGTTGGACGCCATCTTTGGATCAAAGCAAGCTGAAGGTCAGTATTTCAAACGTTTAGCACCGTTATCAGAAGGCTCACTATCTGCGAACATAAGAGGTTGGAAAGTAGTGTACTGAAATCAGGCGAAGTATTCTAGAAATGTTCGCCTCAAGGCTCGTGGGTATACCGAAAAAATATACAAGACCCATAGGATATACGCTGAATCGTTCATAGGCGTCAACTTTTTTGCAATCGAGTGTATATTCGAAAGCGTTGCTTGATTGGTATGTACACACATACAAGCTCGTTGTGTTGCAATCTAAACCACCCCAAGGAAAACTGGGTTACCAAACGAAATGCTTTGGCGTATCGTAAACTGCTGATTTCCTATGCCACCGCTTCATAGTGATTGCGGATTTGTATAGTGCTGTACAGATATTTTAAAAAGCTTGTGGAACACATGTCAGCATTATTTCTTGAACTTATTTGAAACGCCAAAATCTACTTTCAGATGATGTTGATCCAAGTAAACTGGTCGATGAAATACGCCAACTTTACAAAGTCCGTGAGGGATGGTTGGCACCGTTTCCGTGGTGCGAAGACTTTTGCTTTCATCTTGGCGATATCTACACCAGACTTAGGGTGGTAAATAGAAAGAAAGCAGGAAGGAGAGCCGAAGGACACGTTGTTACCATGTCTGAAATCTTCAAGTCACACGAAGAATGTGAGAGTCCCAGAACATCGTTAATTGAGGGAAAGCCCGGTATGGGAAAAACAACCTATTGCAAGAAACTTGTTTACAGCTGGGCGGTAGGGAAAGAAGAAACAGGTGGTTTCCTGCCAAGCTTCAAAATCGTATTGTTCATCAAATGTCGCGATGTGAAGGGGGACCTGTGGGCGGCCATTGATGATCAACTTCTACCTCGAGATATCGATGAAGCCGTAAAAGGGAAATTCTTCAACTTCATTCGCCGCAATCAGTCTGAGGTTCTGCTGGTCCTTGATGGATTGGATGAAGTTTCTGCGAGTAAACTGCCAATGTTTGCCGAAATCATCCAGGGAAGAATCCTTCCAAATTGTTACCTCGTTGCTACAGCGCGACACGAAGCTGGAGTTAAAGTTAGAATACACTGTGACACATTGCTAGAGGTTGAGGGGTTCACTGAAGAAGATGTGCGAAACTTTATCATGAAATACTTCAAAACAAGAGAGGATTTGGCTAAAACTCTCATCGAAGAGATTGAAAAAGATAAAAAATTGAAAGACATGTCGGCAAATCCTCTCAACACCGCTCTTTTTTGTCTGGTTTGTGAAGACTTTGAAGGGGTCTTCCCAGAAAGTAGGACGGAGCTGTACGTGGAAATAGTGCAATGTGTTTTGAGAAGATACAAGCGAAAGAAACAACTTCCAGAAAACGGCGAAGACCTCATTGAAGAGTACAGAACCCAACTAAAGCACCTTGGCGGGATAGCACTTAACGGTTTGCTCGAAGACAACTTGGACTTTGACGACAGTGAGCTTGGAAATCACAAAAGTGACTTACCTAAATTTGGATTTCTTTCCGTTCAGCCAGGAGGCAGCAAATTAAGACCGCGCCGACGTTATGCTTTTCTTCACAAGAGCTTTCAAGAATGGTTTGCCGCACACTATCTGTGTCGTCGGTTGATTGCGAAGGAAATCAGCCCCAGCGAAATAGCTGTTGACAAACATTTCATCCACCAATTGAAAGAAGTCCTTCCATTTGTGTTTGGTATGCTATCAGCACAATGCGAAGAAACAACGGTGATCCTTGTAAAGAGCATAGCGACACACGTGAACCAGGAGGTGGATGAAGTCAGAGATGGATGGTTCAGAGTTGTATTGGACTGCATCAAAGAATGCAAGGAGGATAATGATCTGCCGACTCGTTTGTCACGCGTTTTTGGCTCACTTCTTCAACTGGAATGTGTCTCTCTTGAAAGATCAAATGTTGGTGATCCCGATGTTGTTATTCTGACTGAAGCACTTAAAACCAATACAACCATAACAAGTTTGCATTTTTCTTTCAATGTAATTGGAGCTGGAGGCGCCGTTGCTCTGGCCGAGGCCCTTTCAAGCCATCCGTCCCTGAGAGTGTTGAATTTAAGCACCAATAGAATTCTTGGTAATGGAGCTTCTGCGTTAGCTGGTTTACTCAAATGTAACTCAACTCTGACGGAATTGTTACTGCCCTTCAACAACATTACCGACACTGGTGCTGATGGTCTGGCCGAAGCCCTGAAATGCAACACTTCTCTGTCAAAGTTGAATTTAAATTTCAATAACATTGGCCATCTTGGTGCTGCCACCATAGCCGATGCCATTAAGTGCAATGAAACCCTGACAGAGTTGAGACTGTCTGGCAATAAAATAGGAGACACTGGTGCTGCTTGTCTTGCAGATGCAATTCGGGTGAACACTTATTTAAAAATGATTCTTTTGGATGGCGGTGACATTGGAATTGCTGGTGCCACTGATCTGGCTGAAGCACTCAAATGCAACCAAACCTTGACAGAGCTGGGTTTGCACGATAACAACATTGGCGATTCTGGCACTACTGCTTTGGCTGCTGCCCTTAAATGCAATAATTCCCTGGAAAGGCTGGATTTATCGAGGAACAAAATTACTGATCGTGGCGCTCTCGCTTTATCTAATGTCCTTAAGTGTAATACTATTCTGAAGGAGCTGTATTTGGCCCGCAACGGCATCGGCTATCGTGGTGTTGCCGCGCTAGCTGATGAGGCTAAAGGGAGCACGACCTTGACGAAGTTAAATTTGTCTGGAAACAAGGATGTGGCGTCTGTTGTTCAGGAACTCCGCTCAAAACTTGGCAATCTTAATGAGTAACACAATCTTAATTCAGACTTTTTTTCAGTGTGCTGCATTACAAGGAGCTGATGAGATTATGAGAACGCAAAGTAGAAATTTGGCTTAAGTACAGGCACAACCAAATTTTTCGAGATTGGGTTTCAATCGTAGACCAAAATGAAGGATCGATGCAAGTCAGTATGAGGCCCTTAACATGGCTGTTGCATGAAACTAATGAAAACATGGCGGTTGCCATATGACAATTCCAAAGCTGAATTTCAATCAATCGCTTGAGTGTAAGCAAGAACTTTCATAACGAGGTTTAAAATAAAGGTTATGGCAGCCCTGGGCTGACAATGACGAGACACCAACTGGGTAAATCAGCTATTGTGCAATGCTATCACTCATGTTTAGCTTCTTGTCCTGTGCACTGGAAAACATGGTTTCAGTTTCTCTTGTGAACATCACCTGAGCTTTCCCTGATACGTACTGACCCTCCCCGGTTTCATGCAACATATACTTGATTTTGATGCTTCATTTGAAGTGTCTTTCGATACATCTTGCCATGGGAAGGTGAGATTTTTGATTAGCGTTATTTCTGAACAGAACTTGAAAGGGTACTCTGTGGTATCTGGAACATATGTATTTCCCCCTTGATGTTATATCCGAGTCTGGTTAGGATTAAAGCAAAACACCTGAAGGCGACTTGAACACGAGATACCAAACCGAAAGCAAATGAGCTACTCAGTTTAGAATACGGTTGCCTCGATGGTAGCGTGTACAAAAACACTGTTTGGGGTGCCCTTAGTGTGAAAATTTAGGCTTCTCAATCCCTATTGGGAATTCTAGAGGGTGCAAAATTTTGATTTAAAGGTAATTTTTTTACGACACCATACAAACATCTAGAAGCATTTCTATTATTTTCGCTAGATAAATTGAGCTTCATCGGCGTTAATTTAGACTTTTACTAAGCTTGGGGGGCGGGTGCACGGGGATAACATCTGAAATCACTTCCCTCTACAGTCCACAACTTCCGTCCACATCTGATCCACCGCAATACCTCATTCATTATACTAATGAATGAGCTTAAAAGAATCGCCTTCCATTCTCAGACTCGAGCGTTCCTTCGGAAGCCCTCGTAAAAACGAACGGTTCTCATTTTCATACTGGGGCATTCCTGCTAAAGATCGTGCAATAACAATCTGCCTGGTTTATTAAGCGTGTTTTCGTAAATATGTCATTTTCTAGCACTTTTATGACAACTTTTGGGTTATGAACACAGAGGAAGGAAACTTAGTTCTCGTTCCGCACCAGCTATCCTAAAATTATAGGATTCATTTTTCAATTCTAAAGGACTGTATTCCAAAGACCGTTGATAACAACAGTTTCTAAATGAAGAATAAGAAATATTTTCCATTGACGTTGTAGTGTCGTCATTCAGACACAAATAGACTGTTACTCTTTCATTGCCAAAGGCTAACTGAACTTTATTAACAAACACGTTACACATAGAATTAGATACGTATGATGCAGGATCCTCGCAGTAGAGAGCGCTATTTATGCAATAGCGAAAATCAGACCTGAAAAAAAATCAGGCCTGTACGGGATTCGAACCACTGACCTCTGCCATACTAGTGCAGCGCTCTACCAATTGAGCTAACAAGCCAACTGGGAGCAGGCCGTTAAGTTGATTCGTAATAAACCCGTGATGATAAAATGTATGAACTTCACATAGAACTAGGAGAGTTTACTGACTTATGTTAATTTTACAGCATGCAGGTATTTCCAGTATAGTAGGATTACTGCGAGTAGTACATTTACTGAACTAAGTACAAAGTGCTCCCCTTACAACCCATAATAAGGTTGTTGTCAATAATTAAGATAGGTACATGTCTAATCAATACACTACAGACGTGAAAGATTATATATCAATCTTGACTTTTAGTGTTATTTTTTCCACTTCAGTGGCTACGCGATTAACAAAATAATAGATAGCTTAGAGCGAAGAGTCAACTTTCGGCAGCTGTTCTAGATGAAGATGAAGACTTTTTTTACTTCTGAATGATGTTTGATGGCCATTATGATCAATCACAAAGAAAACTTCACAGCGGGAAGTTTGGCGATAAAAGTATCGATCGTGGGAAAGAAGTTAGACTTTTGTGCGGAGCCGAGATTAAAATTGCTTACGTTATGGCGGCAGCAGCAAAGCAGGTGCTAAACTAAAAAAAAATTTTCAGAGTAAAGGGAAAAACTTTAAAAAAGCTAAACTTTAGTGCGCTGTTCTCCCAAAGGAATGGTGTAAATATGCGAAGCAAACAAAATTTATCAAACCATTGTATTGTGAAAAGACAAACACGAAAATTTGTGCCATTGTTAGGGACCAAATTGCCTCCACTATTTATGTTGGGTCGCATTGATGGGGAACTAGCGGCCAGCCGCAACTCCCTTTGCGATAGGCACTAAGGACACTTGACCTGCCTTTTACAGGTCTCTTTATTCTATTTTCACAAAGACAATCTTACCTGAAACAAACTCAATCTTCTTCTACTCGGCAATATAACTCACTCAACTACTGTCAACAACAAAAATTCTATCTCTATTCTTCTACACTGTCTACTTTCTTCTTCTAAGTAAGCTCTAAAGTACACGCTTCTATATTTACTACTGAATATATTACTTTACATAACTATATATTAGCATGGGTAGGCATGCTAGCTGACTGACCTTGGGATATAACCACAGAAATCTAGAAAACTAACCCTTAAAGCAGTTGCTCGTAAATATGGGAGAAATGTATGGATACCCTCAAGTCTAAGGGAAAAAAAAAATCATGATTTCCCAACTTTATTCCAGTCGATTATCGGCTATGATATTACGTAAGGATCGCATTAGGCTTGTCAGGTAACAGAGTATGTGTTCAAAAGGTTGATAAACCATCAAGAAACTCGTACTAATTAAAAGTTTTCTAAGAAATCGTCGACTTCTCTTGCTTGGTATGCGCTGAAAACCTTTATTTTGCTCGAAATCTGCTCGAAGTTGCTAGAACCGCAAAAAGTTGCCTCAAACGCCAAACGTTGCCCAAGAGTTGCACGATCGCCCGACGGGCCTAATAATAAACGTTATTCAAAGAACTCATTTGTGATCGGCGTGCGTCAAAAATTGTTGAGCCTTAGTGTGAAGACTTCCAGTGGCTTTTAATTCTGACAGACTTCCAAGTATACCATAATACGAATTGAACTAACAAATTCTCTGAGAAGCTTTAACGAACTTCGCTAAACACGTATGTCCAAATGTCTTTTGTTCTGCACGAACTTCGCGCTCAACTAAACTATCTTATACAAAAAAGGATAATTGACACGTTACATTAATATTCCAGAATACACGATATTTTTAATAGTCACAAATTTCTCAATAGCACCTGCACCAAAGTGGCGACTTTCAAAAGAAAAAAGCTATGATAACACAATAAACAAGACACGTAGACGCTCTCTAAAAAATGACTGCGAGTATTCCATTGAGGTTTCCATCCAAAAACGGACAAACAGATAAAGCACGAGGCCGCAGGGCGAATTCGTCTTTAGTTTTTGAGTGCTTAGAAATCCTGATTTCCATTTAGACTTCCTATTCTGAAAATTCGAATATGAAATTTCGAAACACTTCAGATTCGAAAGTCTAAATGGACTCCGTTAGGGAGCCAGTTCGCATCATTAGATTTTTTCTTCAAAAAGTGTCGTCACGATATTAACAAACTTAATTTCAATCGTAGTACCAAATTTTCCAATCCTTCCCCTGAAGAGTGGTCCGAGCACTAGCCGAACTAGTGCTCACCCTCAATTGTTTTTCATTCGGGGACAACTTCTTTAAACAAACCAATGGTGTAGCCATGGGCACCAAAATGGGACCTAGCTATGCCAATCTTTTTGTAGGTTTTGTCGAACACCAATTTTTCAGCCAATACAACGGCTCCAAACCTGAACTCTACGGTCGCTACATCGACGACTGTATCGGCGCTACCTCCTCTACCAGAGAGGAGCTGACTCAATTCATAACCGCAGTCAATTCTTTTCACCCGGCTCTGAAATATACCTGGGAAATTTCTGACAATTCTTTATCCTTTTTAGACATCAAAGTTTCAATTGAAGGCAACGGTTTATGCACTAGTGTGTATTACAAACCTACAGACTCGCATAATTACTTGTTGTATTCGTCTTCGCATCCATCTCACGTTAAGAATTCCATTCCTTTTTCTCAGTTTCTAAGACTTCGTCGTTTATGTAGTGATGACTCTGATTTCCACCACAAATCAGAGTCAATGTGCCAGTTTTTCGATAAACGTGGTTACCCTGATTCTGTCGTTCAAGCGGGTTACCACCGCGCCCAACTTATTGATCGACATTCAGCACTACAAACGTCACAAAAGGAAGATTCCGACCGCATTCCATTCACTCTCACGTTTCACCCTCACAACCACTCAGTTAAATCCATCATTCTTAAAAACTTTAAATTACTTCAAAACGATCCAGAGACAAGCACTATCTTTTCGCAGCCTCCGCTCATTTCATTCAAACGCGACAAAAACATAGGCAATTTTTTGGTCAGAAGTTCTTTTCAGACTAATGACCAACCAGGCACTTTTAAATGCGCTCGTGCACGATGCAAAACGTGTCCTTTCATTCACAACACTGAGAAAATATCGGGACCCAAACGATCCATTAAGATCACCGATCACTTCACGTGCACCTCCGCCAATGTAATCTATTGCATAACTTGCACTTATTGCAAAAAGAT